TTAACTCTGTGGTTTCTTAGAATTTTTGTATCATAGCCTATATGTGAGATTCAAACTTCTGAACCAACAATCAAATACTGACACCAGATGGTAAGGTATAACTCATGTTCTGTGGCACGACGAAGAACACCATAGTATTCTCTAAGCCTATTAGAATGTTTTCTTTGTCTATGGCCAGAGTCCACACCTATGTAACTTATGTTCGTCCAAGAAATATGTTCCTAAACAAACAAAACTTGAGTTCTCCTTGGGAAAATTTCATATAGACCCCTAAAAAAATTCAATTTCGTAATAACTCATCTCGCATTTTCCCTCTCCCACAGCATTAAACTTTAGGAGTATATTTCACCCCACCCTCTCCTCACTTCCCTCCCCTTTCTTCGTTATGTTTACCACAATAACTGGCCCAAACAAAACACAATTTTTTCCCAATCCAATGACTCTCTTGCTCTTGTCCCTTAAAAAAGCAAGTGATGAAAAAGAGAGTTATTGAGTTGGGGATGGCTAGCAAGGTAAAAATAAAGAGGGAAGAGGAGATATGTGAGGAGGGGGTGGGATGATACATCATCATCATCAAAGCCTTTTTCCAATTAATTGGGGTCGGCTGCACGAGTCTTGGTCCGCCATTATGGTCTTTTAAAGGCTATACCCTCAATGACGGCATAAGTCCCCATATCTTTTTGGATTATTCAAACCATGTCCTTTTGGGCCTAACCCTTGCAAATTTCAGTCCTTCCACTTGAACTAATTCACACCTCCCCTCTTAACATGCGTTGTACTTGGTTGGTGCCACACATGGCCAATCCACTTAAGTCTACTCTCTCTCATATTATCTCCTATTGGTGCCACACCCAATTTATTATTAAAAAAATTTTAAAATCACCAGACTGATGTCATATGCCGTCACAGTTCATTGGTCCCGACGTCAGATATCATTGTCCATTACCATTTGATTATTAAAATTCCATTAAACAAACATGCTGATGTCACGTGATGTCATCAGAATTTAATTGGGTGGACTTGCACGTCACCCCACTACCCAACGATCAATTGCTATCAATGTTGTTACAGGTCCTTTTATATGGCTTTTGCGTCCCACATCTCTTCGATGTGGGACAATTTTCATAGCCCAATTGTCACATTGAATGAGCATATAGATTAATACTTAGGTAGGGATGGCTGGGCATCAATAAGAGGGGTGTGCACCTGGCATTAAATTACATGATAAAAAAAGAAATAAAATTATTGAAAATAATAATTGGGTGATAGCGCCCACCACCCCTATCTTTCACCAAAAAAATTTAAATTTACTTGCTAAAAAATCAAAATAAAGAGACTAATACTATTAGGCTATTATCTCATGGGATATTAATAAAAGCAAAAAATAATACTAATATTAGTTTATTGAATATTAAAAAAATATTAGTTTATGAGATATTTTAAGAGGGAAAAATAACACTAACTTATACCACTTAAGAATTATTTTTAAGTTACTTTATCAATTACCCTACATTGCAAGTAATTAATTAATTTATTTTTTAATTGTATTAAAATATAATTGTAAATTTATATTTTTGAATTCTATATTTCTATCCACACTAATTATTATATATTAGATTTATTTATTTGTGAGGGTCATACCCTTGTTTTTTGAATTACGTTTATTATAATATTGTAATTAATAATTATACTAATTACAATGATAACCAAGCCTTATATTTTATTTATTAATTTATTTACATTATAAATTATTCAATGTATTATTTTTTGTTATAGTTGTAAATTAGATTTTTTAAATTAGATGATGTTATTAGACAAATTTCAATTTTGTTCTTATTTGTATAGTAAAATGATGATAAAATAATAAAATACAAACCAATAATTATAATTTCAATGTATAATATTGTATTTAGTTAGGTTTTAATAAATGTTTGATGATAATCTTCATATAGGGAAAGAACATCTCAATATTCGCATATTGTTGAAAAAAATAAAAGTTATTAATGTAGTATCCTCATTTCTTATTGGATTCCTAAAAAACAACATTTATAATGATTTTTAATAATTTTTTTTAATTTTTTTAAGGCCGAATTCAACCGATTTGGTCGATTTCCTATCCGAAATGCAGATTCAACGGTCCGGATGGGTTTTTGGGATGCCCGATCCGGGGCACCAATCCGTTTTTTAAACCATTGGGTAACTTATGGTTTTTGGTTTTGATGGATGGTGTTACATACTTGTACATTTTGATCTTTATTCTGTGAAAGGGTTAATCTCCTTAGAAAAAAAAAAGAAAAATGGAAAAATGAAGAAGAAGAGAGTGTTTCCCAGTTGATTTTTAGGATATAGTAAAGAAGCTGGTCTGTATTTTGGTGCTCGTTGTTCCAAATTATCATCTATTTCTTTTCCAAAGGGGCTATGTAAGACTGGGTTATTAGTCCAGCATGTTAAGTGGTGAAATTCAGTGACACATGTGTTCATAATGTTGGTGTTGTCCCTACCTAACAAGTTTGTATGCTATATTTGAACAATATTCATATTGTTTTGTCTAATGTCATATTTGTTTCATCAAAACCAAAGCATGTTTTGTTTTGTCTAAACGAACACATTGATACTTCACTGCAGAATCATATTTACAACTTGTCGGTCTGTTGGCTCTGTATAACTGTACTTTTAGGCTGATTTGATTTTGTACTATCTGTATATCATATATTACAATGACTTGCCCGTTTTTTTTTTGATTATCCTTCACTAGGGAAGGAATTTGAATATTTTCCCTCATAATATTTGAATATTTTCACCCATAAGATTTTCATTTCGTTCCTGAGAGATCTCCCTTCTCTTCCACAGTTTGTGAGCAAGCTTATTCAATGGCTCAAAATTTGGACCCGAACAGTGATGGAAGAGGTGTACTACAATTCAAAACTGGGTTGCAGTCTTTAATTAAGGTATTTTCCATAGCACAAATAACCGTAGTTTCTGTGTCAATAAGATGAAATTATTTTCTTTTGTATTACCATGGATTCTTTTGTAGCATTCCATTTGGTCTTATCAGTTGTCAACTTCCTTTTGGATTTTATGCAGCAAAAACTTTCAAAGAAGGATGGTGAAAAAATTGATAGGAGTAGAGATATACAACTCCTATGGGAATTCTACACTAAATACAAAGAGAGACATCGAGTAGAGGAGATCCAGAAAGAGGAGCAAAGATTGAGGGAGTCTGGTGTATTTAGTGGTGTATTTAGCAGTAACTTGGGAGAGTATGTACTATTCTTGGTCCATTATATAATTTTGCATAAAAATCTGTTATCTGATGGGCATTTTTGGTTACCACATTCTTTCATTGCGGATAGTAAGTCTTGTTAAATGTCATTTTGTCCTCTAGCATCAGCAAATGCCTGTGAGGGAAGATGCATTAGCTCAATGAACCTTTGCAGGCATTGTCAAATTCGATAGTAAAAGTTGTATATCTCTTGTTTACGCACCTCTCATGAGTAATGCTTGTTTAGCATGTACGAATTTCTGGAAAATTGTAGAAATATATTCGAGTACTTTAATAGATACATTTATTTATTTGGTATGTGGTTGGCCAAAACTGGTCATTCTCATTCTTGAGCTGTAGAGTTATTTCTTTGTTTGAAATTTTGTTATAGACACTAAGACGGAGGTGTAGCATGTGTCCTTTAAGAGCATGCATCTCAATGAGTCTGTTTATGCCTTCACAATATATGATAAATAAACTATTCTAACATCCAATTTTTGAAGTTCTATTATATTTAAAAACAAAATGAAACATTTGGTTATTGAATTTGGTATTGGGGGGCAAATGAAATTTGGGCCGCCAGCATCTGCAATTCCTCCAATGTGGTTGTCATTGGCGTCACTTTAGCATTAATTACGGTCTTGTGTAGCGTGAGTCCTTTAGGAACTTGTATCTCAGTGAGTCTGGTTATGCCTTCACAATATATGGTAAAATAAACTTATCTAACATCCAATTTTGATGTTTTATTATATATAAAAAATGAAATGAAACATTTGGTTATTGAATTTGGTATTGGGGGGCATTTCACTGGCATTAGCCGCCATATGTAACTCGAAATCCCTTTTGGCAATGCCTTCTAATGATTCCAAGAAGAGACAATCACAAGAACCATGATGCATCTTCGTCAAAATGTTCTCCCAACTAATTGGGGTCGGCTACACGAATCGTTGTCCTCCATTCTGTTCTATTAAAGGCCATATCCTCAGTGAGGCCATAAGTTTCCATATCTTTTCTTCTTATTTCCAACCATGTCCTTTTGGGCCTATTTCTTGCCTTGTTTGAGCCTTCCACTTGAACTAACTTGCACCTCCTAACAGGTGTTGTACTGGATCTTTGCCACATATGGCCAGCCAACCTAAGTCTGCTCGCTCTCATTTTATCAACCCACCTAAGTCTACTCTCTCTCATCTTATCGCTTATTGGTGTCGCACCAAAATTTTTTCGATTGTATTCATTTCAAATTCTATCCCTCTTGTCTTGCCACTCATCGATCTCAACATCCTCATCTCCGCTACACTCATTCTATGTTCTATAGGTATATTGTTTTTTTTTATTAGTTAACATTCTGCCTCATAGAGCAAAGCTGGTCTCACAGCTGTCTATAGAACTTGCCTTTCACCTTCATTGGCATGCGGCGATCACATAAAAATCTGGTTACACATCTCCACTTCTCCCACCCAGCTCTAATTTTATGTGCGGCATTTTTCTTCAATCTCTCTATTTTCTTAGATTATCGACCCAAGATTCGAAAGTGTACTCTTTTTGGTATTTTTTGGCTGTCAATCTTATTTACTTCCTAGTCTCTACTCCGATTATTACTAAACTTGCATTCCATATACTCTATCTTAGTCTAGCTATTTTAAAAACTTTAGATCTAGAGCATCCCTCTAGAGTTCTTTGTGTTGATGCTGTTTGGGTCTCATAGATCAAATGTCATTGAAAACTCACTCATCTCTTCACTAGTTGTTTGTACACTGATTAATGGTCCATCGTGCATATCTCTCACCAAGTCGATGTAGTAGACTCTTTTCTTTTTCTACACCCACCAATCAAATCTCGAGGTAATCTATCATAAGCTTTTTCTAGATCAATAAGGTCATGTGGAGGTCTTTTCCCTTCGCCCTAAACTTCTCAATCAGTTGTCTAAGTAGGAAAATAGCCTCGGTTGTTTACCTCCTTGGCATAAAACCGAATTGGTTTTCATAAGCACTCAGATTATGATACCAAAAGTGTTCTATTGACCAACTTCAAGGCACCATAAACCCTCTTTTCTTGGGAAAAATACTATTCGCTTTCATTGCTATAATAGTGCTACTGTGTGCGATTTTCGTGTGCATGGTTTTTTTTTCTGTGATATTTCCCTGAGCTAGTGTGCATGATGGTGCAGAAACTTAATATGTTGGCTGCTTTTGTGGAAGTCAAATATTGTGTTTCTTCTAATCTAGTGGTAACCATGCACGTGGTGTCTAAGGACATCTCTGTTTTTAAATTTTGAGACTTATATGCTTGAGTACTAGTTTTAGTTCTTCTATTATTCTTTGTACTATTTCAAAGAGATATTTCTTTGTGCTACTTCATGCTGCATTTCTTGTGCCAGGAGGGAACGTCGTTCTAAAGAAATGAAGAAGGTTTATGCTACTCTGAGGGCCTTGGTTGAGGTTATGGAAGCACTTTCCAAAGATGCGCACCCTGATGAAGTGGGCAGACTGGTTCATGAAGAGGTACTTTAAGCAATTACTTGTCCTTATTGTTTGCTCTGTTTTCATTATTATTACATGGTCAGTATTTTCGTTTCATGGCAAGTTCAATTACTTCAGATGTTTAGATGTTGGACACTGGAGCCAGAAAATTACCTGCTTTGAATCTGAAACCTTAACCGATGGGAAGAAATTTTCTGTAGGAACCATTGATTCAGTTGCATTACTCTTTGATGTATCTGGATAGATTTGTAATGAACATTGTGGCCATTATTAGCCAAAAGAATATCTATGGTTGCAGTCCCTCGGTTTTCTTGCTATGTTGTGCCCCTTTACTGTTCTTGCTCCTTAATATGTTGGTACTTTACCATCTCAATGGAAATTTGCTTGATTATATATTTCATATTTTTGAGAACCAAGCCCAAATAGTTTGGATCAATGTTCACGAAGGCGGAGGCGCCTGCCTAGGCAGTTTGGCCATCTTCGCCTCCCCCTTGGGATGGGGGCAGTTATCAGTTACACTTTGGCTATGGTCTATTTAGTTCGAAAATATTTATATTTTTTATTTTGTGTTATAGTCTATTTATTTCAAACAACAATATTCCAATAACTTCAAATGCACACATGAAGGAATACATAATGTTTTTTTACTTCTTCACACAAATTCTTTGTTGTGTAATTCTTCCATATATTGCACTGATCCATATAATTTCTTATAATTTTCTGTGGGTTTTAGCCATATTTGTTAATTTTCTTATAATAATCTCCCAGCTAACCAAACCATGAAACGAACCCTAATTTGTGAGGGTTCCTTGCACATGCAGTACCACATATCATCAAGATTGGTCCTTTAAATCATCAACCATCATTTCAAAATCATGTTTAAACAGTAAAAGAAGCCATCTTTACGAAATAATCAACGGAAATCACAACTCAATTCCTCAAATTAACCATTAATTGCTTATTTACCCTTGGCCGAGGGCACCCTAGGCCAAGTTCTTCCAAGGTTCCGCCTAACCAGATCAAGGACACCCAGGATGCTCGCCTAGGCGTTTTGACTCCGAATTTTGGAACAATGGTTAGGACAAGGCTCGAATGATGACGATGATGATATTTCATATTTTGGAGAGGTGTAAGCTCTTGTTAGGAGTTTGTTGTCATCTCACTCCAGAATTCAGATTTGCATGCTAATGGGTTTTATATCTTATTACTGAGCATATGAGCTCTTTTATGATGAATTTCCTTGTTACATACTTTCTGAACTTGTTGCAGTTAAAAAAGATAGAGCAATCTGATGCGACACTGAAGGATGAGCTCACTCCATATAACATTATCCCCTTAGATGCACCATCACTAACAAATGCGATTGGAATTTTCCCAGAAGTAAGTCTTCTGACTTCACTGTATTGGTGTTGCGTTTGCCAGTGAATATATGCTTCCTAAAGAGTTCCCCATTTGGAAGTTTTAAGAAACCACCAGTTGGTCTATTGGGAACTGTATATATTACACCTAGGTTTTTTTTGTATCTAGGATGCAAAATTTTTTTGTTCATCTAGATCTTATTTATTATTGTTGATTCCAGGTGAAGGCTGCAGTATCTGCGATACAGTATACAGTGGACTTCCCTCGGATTCCTGCTGGTTTTTCAGTTTCTCAGTTGCGAAGTTTAGATATGTTTGATCTCCTCCAGTATGCCTTTGGCTTTCAGGTTTAAGTATATGTATCACTTTTTGATTATGTTAATTATCCTAATATTTCTTGATAATCTCTGGCTGCACTTTGTCAGCTGATAAGGATATTTAGCTTGCCTTGGTTATTACTTTACCTCTTTATGTAAACCACTTGATAAAAGAATATGCCTTTCAATGTGCAGTATGTATGTCGGTTCTGTGATATTCAATGATTTCTCCTTCAAAAGCCATCCCCAGTTAGTTTTTTTCAGATGACTTAAATGTTTGGTTCTTCTGTAGAAAGACAACATCCGCAACCAACGAGAGAATGTGGTTCTTCATATAGCTAATGCGCAGACTCTTCTTGGCATTCCTGAAGGAAATGATCCAGTAAGTACCATTTCCATAATATTGTCATGACTGCTTCAATTGCTAATATGTGTGACAACAATGTTGTATGTAGATAATGCAGACCGATCCTTTTCAGTGGGATACTTTGTCCTATTTTGTACAAAATTTTCAGACAGCCCATGTTTGGGACATGTTTACATACTGAAGCCATATATCCTACTTCCACAGTCTTGTCATGACACAGTCATATAAACTTGCTGATGGTTTGTAGCACCATTTTGTTACTAATTTTCAAAATTACAAAAGTAATCGAATTTGCAGGCGCCAACAGAGATGCCTAGATGGCATCTCAATGGCCCTTAAAAGCTTCTTATTGCCATGATATACCTTAGGGCATGAAAAGTGCGGATTCTTGGATTGATATAAGCTTCCCATGGCAGTACTAGAAATGGATTACTGGAATGTCTTAGTGTATGGATCGGAAACGATTCAGTGAGGCAGCCATTTTGATTTACGGGAATCATGTTGGCATGTGTTATCCAGATGTTCATGGATATTGATGTGAAATGGATTACACATTTCTTATTCTGGCAAGCACGAGCAGATGAGAGAAATTCCATAGCAATGTGGAAACATGAGTAAGCACAGCAAAAACGTGAGGATCAAGCAAAAACGAAAAGAAAAGAAAACAACAAAAATGGTGTACAAGAAAAGAAAACAACAAAAATGGTGTACCTATATTTGTATTGGGTTACTGTTTTTTTTATAAATTGTTGAAGTTAAGCTTGTCCATTTCTGAAAGGCATTTGTGATAAAATGAGTTTCCATGTGCATTCCTTTTTCTTTCTAACCATGAGTTTAGCCTTTTGGATGTGGATGCAATTCATGCTGCATTGTAGAAATATGATTTTGGTTCCTACTATCAGGCTGCTTGGTGGTGTGCTACATTTGTGGCCATTATTGATTGGGCTCTAGAGGTGGTTGTTTTAGAATTTTGGGATGAAGTTTACAAGTGCATGTGCGTATGCCCATGTGCATGTGGATGCTTGTATGGGTTACTGTTTTTTTAAATAAATTGTTGAAGTTAAGCTTGTCCATTTCTGAAAGACATTTGTGATAAAATGAGTTTCCATGTGCATTCCTTTTTCTTTCTGATGATGTGTTTAGCCTTTTGGATGTGGATGCAATTAATGCTGCTATATGGAAACATCATTTTCGTTCCTGCTATCAGGCTGCTGGGTGGTGTACTATGTTTGTGGCCATTATTGATTGGGCTCTAGCCATTATTGATTGGGCTCTAGAGGTGGTTATTTTAGTATTTTGGGATGAGGTTTACAAGGGCAAGTGCATGTGTGTGTGCCCATGTGCATGTGCATGTGTGTGAGTGAGCCCTTGCATCTTTTTTTTTTTTTACACTGTATAGATTATGAGAGAGAGCATATGGACCCTGTAGGAGAGAGAGTTCTCACATCAAACACTTGGAGGACATGTTCATCTTTTTCTTCTTCTTATATGTAGAGAGAATATGATTTCTTGAGAGAGGGGGTCAAGTATTGAACACTTGGAGGTCGTCTTTTATTTCTTATTATATGTATAGAGAGAGAATATCAGATCTTGAGAGGCAAGAGAGAGCATATGGGTCAATGTGTGTGTATGTGGGCATGCGAGAGAGAGAGAGAGAGAGAGGGAGACCTCGTAACGAATACTTGGAGGCCAATTGCTTTTTCTTCTTCTTCTTTTATGAGAGAAAGTACATGGGTCCGTGAGCGAGAGAGAGAAGGGCCGTAATCATTTGTACAAACCTTGACTAGTTATTTATTTTTTAAGGGAACTTATGTGATAAGATGAGAGATAGTAGGCCTAGGTGGGCTGGCCATATGCAGTGCAGACCTAGTACAACACCTGTTAGGAGGTGCTAGTTGGTTCAAGTGGAAGGCTAAAAAAAGATTAAGAGGTAGGCCCAAAAGAACATATTTGAAAGTAGTGGGAAAAGATTTAACAAAATTTAGGGACTTATGGCCTCAGTGAGGGTATGGTCCTTGATAGAGTAGAATGATGGACCGGGATTCGTATACCTGATCCCAAATAGTTGGGAAAATGCTATGATGATGATGATGAAGGAGACTTATGTAATTTTTTCCTTTTTTATTTTTTATAGATGGTGATGATGATGAAGGGGACTTAATGTAATTTTTGCCTTTTTTATTTTTTATTCCAGGGATAGCACTAGGCGTATATGGTTATGGGGGGCTTAGAATGCCCTCCTAAACCCTTTTCCCCCTATTTATTGGGGAAAAAGGACCTTTTTTGACCTTGGCCTAGCGTATTTTTCTTCCCTCAGCCAAGTTGCATCTAGATGCCCTTCTGAAGGGGAGTGCCTAGGGAGCACCTTGGCGCCAGGAGCATGCCTTATGGCGAGGCCTTGGGCTCTCAAGAGCATACCTGCCTAGGGCACGCCTAGGCATTTTAAAGCAACCAGGCGGCCAAATTTTTCAACATTGTCCATATTAGGGGTTGGTGGGGGGTAAGAGCAGTCAATTTTTTGGTTTCTCGTACTTCATGTCGATTTGCGCATCATTTGATGTCTTGTCCCTCCTTGGCATGTGAGACACATGCGCACATGTACACAAGTCAGCATAAACATGTGTACATGAACTATTAAGTGGCATCAATATTATTTCATTCCAATTTATCTATGCTCTAAGGATGTAGAATTTCTTAAGTAACCTTTTTTCCATTTCTTTCTTTGCAGAAGATAGATGAGAAAGCGATCACTAATGTTTTCCGGAAAGTTCTTGATAACTATATCAAGTGGTGCGGATACTTGGGCCAACGTCCTGTATGGAATAGGTATATTCTTTACATTATCTTTGTTTCCTTGTTATCATTGTAAAAGGACTGATTGGACCACCCGGTCTGATCGAATTGAACTGGATATTTTTCCATGTTTTATAGTTTTTAGTGTGTTTTGAAGAGTTGTGGACTTTTTTCCTCTATTAGACTATCGATCAGTTTGGACCAGACCAGGCTAATCACCAATTGGACCTCCAGTCTGGTCCTTCTAATTTTGCTTGTTACTGTAATTAGTTTCTATTTTCTAACCATCACCACATTTTAGCTTGGAAGCTCTGAACAGGGAACGCAAGCTTATATTCCTTTCTTTGTATTTTCTCATCTGGGGAGAAGCAGCTAATATTCGATTCTTGCCGGAATGCATCTGTTATCTATTCCACAATGTGAGTGCTTTTCTTCCTTATCTGGGGATCACATACTGTTGCATTTGGATTCAGTTAATGAATTTATGCTGTCATTTTGTTTTTGTGTAAGCACAAACACACTTGCAGTTGTATGTTTTTGTTTGTATATTACTGCATTATGTATATAACTTTATATTTCTGCGCTATAACTTTCTAAATTAAATATATTTCTGTATTATGCTAAGAAGATCATGATGCACCCCTCTCTTATAAGAGATTGAGATGCCTAATCCTCCACAATCTGCATTGATTATGTTGTATACTTGTATCCATGTCATATAAATGATGTAGTCTTAGGAATCAGGGATGGGTTTGATTTGTGAAGGTGTTGACAAATGGAACTATACATTCCAAGTTCATAACCTACTGCTGAACTATCTTAAAAAAAGATATAATTTTGACAGTTTCTGATGAAAAGTTAAGTGCTAAGAAAATGATCTGAGCATGACAAAAGGTCTGAAGCCAAGAAACTGCTTCCTGGGAGTCACTTTGATGATGAGATCTGAATTACTCAGGCTGTTGACTTGAAAAGATTCTCCATAGTTCATAACTTCCAGGGTAAAGAGTGAGAAGGGCTAGGGTATTTTGCAGGATCTTGAGGAATAATTTGACATTCATTTTCATTCGAACTAATATGTTTGCATTTTTTTTTGCTTCTAAAATTATTTATTGCAGTTGAAAGGAATGCAGCAAGGTAAAAATCATACTTGGTAATTTGTTAGTGTTCCTTTATCACATACCTTAACATGGTACAAGTTGATCAATTGTGGAGCTTGACTTGCCTTTCTCTGCAACTATAAGATCATGAACAATTGCCTTGTACTGGATCTAAAGTGTTTCTTTCAGATTTGTGATGTTTATATGTCCCTTGTTTCACTGTTTTCATGTGAATTGTGGTTTATCATTCTCATTGATTTTGTGAGTTTATTTTCTGTTCTCTGAGATCAAATGATTTTCGAGTGTATTATTGATTTTACCATCTGGGTTACTTGGTTTGACGTGATACCTGAGTGCTGCAGCTGGCAAAGGATTTGGATGTGATATTAAACCAACCTGAAGCTCAACCAGCCATGAGTTGTACAAGTGAAGATGGAAAAGTGTCTTTTCTTAAGGAAATCGTCATCCCTATCTACGATACAATGGCAGCGGTAGTGTATCTCCTATCTTATGTGTATTCTTTTGTGATGCATGAAATTGATACCTCATGAGATTCTCTTGAAATCGAGAATCTCATGGGTATTGTTGTACTTATTGTTATTGTGGTTAATTGCAGCTGTTTGTGGGCACTGACTGACCTGTTGCTTTGGAATTTTAACTTGGTTAATTTGCATTTGTCCTATGGAAATTCATGTATGGAAGTGTGATACTTTGGTAATTGGACAATCCATTGTTGCATTGAAAGTTTCCATGGCCTTTCAAGGATGTGTTAACATTTTCCAAAGACCATTTTTGACAATTTTTATGAGGTGTAGCTTATTGTCCACCTTTCCGAAACATGACGTGTTGGTGACCTCTTATAAATTCTTTGTCCATTGCTTATTTAATTTCTGGAATTTCATTTTTGAGAAGGAATCCACATGTTCCATTGAAACTTAGGTATATTTTTAAGTGCTTACATAATGCTGAATGCAGACATTGTGAGTCTAATTACCAAAGAGTATAAAAAATGTGGCGGTGTTCCCCATTGACTAGAAGCCATAGTTGAGTGTACTGGGAGCACGAGGATCGACTCATGCAGGAACCTTCCTAGGTTGGGAGCACATTCTATACAAATTTTTAATTTATAAATAAATCTTTCAGAAAAATTAAAAATTTAATAAAAATTTTAAAATTCATTCATCGCACATAATACAATAAGAAATGGGCACACTAGAATTTTGCAATAAAAAAGTAATTATTTGAATTTTGTTTAGTTAATAATAATATTTTTATATCCCTTTTTGGTGTAGTTTATGTAACAATGATCCCACAAAATGCAATTAAAAAAAGTATCCTGATACACATCGGGATAACCAATAACGATACAACAGAGCTAAGTTTTTATTGATGAACATAGGCTTTGTTTACATTTTGACACTTTACGACATCCAAAAGCATAACAAGTTGCTTTATTTGCAAATTTACACTTTACAACATCCAAAACATTAGAGAGAGTAGAAGAACTTTCAAAAAAAAAAAGAAAGGAAAAACATTAGAGAGAGTGTAACATTCAAATGAATCATCTTCTTTCCCTCCTCTTGCCCTTTCGAGTAGCTTGGAGCGATCCTTGAAAAGTGGGGATCCAGATCCAAAAAGTTGGGAATAGAGATCCCTATCCATCAGGCAGATTGCCCCAAAATCTTGGAGCAGAATTGACACCTAAGTTATGCGATCCCTGTAACAATGCTAGAAACTATCTTAGAGTTCCCTTTGCCGGCTAATCCATGGTGAGCTTCTCTTCGCATGCTTAATGGATATTTGCTTATGTTAGTTGCTTCATCCTATCAATAATGGCTTTTGGCCTTTTTTTTTTTTTTGAAACTGTTGACTTTGTATTAAGAATAAAAGAGATTACATTATATGAAAAACGCAAACACTGAAGTGTTGTGCTGATCTCAACAAAAAAGAAGAACAAAGAGAACCATTTTCACTGCTTTTTCAATGCATATAATTTGGGAGAATGGCAGAAAAGAAACCTAGTTGAAACGGTTAAGTCGTAGGCAATGAGGCTCCTTGTTTAGCTAGGTTGTCAGCCGCTTGATTGGCCTTCCTCTAGATATGAGTCTATGAAACCCGAGTATACCTGCAAATGTTGAAAATCTCATAAAAAATGGACCAAGTCTCCAGGGGGGTGGTGCCTCTTGGGAGGCCCAGGAGAGTGCATTTTTGGAATCCCCTTCCACGGTCAAAACAGAGCTCCATTCAGGGTTGAAATTTTTCAAGCCTTCCAATAGGGCGCAGGCTTCTGCCATGGTGGAATCTGTTATGCCGATTTGGGACGAAAAGGGAAAGAGGGAGATGCCCAAATTGCTTTTGTAAATACCCCTGACACCTGCCGGGCCCATGTTGCCGAGGGAGCAACCATTGAAGTTTAATTTGGTCTGGCCTAGTTAAGGGGGTCTCCAGAGGGAGGGGCGAGTGGCCTGTCTTAGGCGATGGTAAAGAATGGTGTGCCAATTAAGGAGGAAGTGGCAGGCCGAGAACAGATTGAATTGTTTGCTGTTGGTTGCCCTAATGATAACCAGGGACTTGATAGATACTTTGGGCCTTTTGCTATCATACATGACCTGTTACTTCTCTATTATTACTGTAATTATTCCATGGAAGAGCTCCTCTTGTTACACTTCCCTCTCATCTCAACATATCTCCCCCCACCTTGCCAACCTCTCAACAATTGTGGTGTCATACCTGGCTTGATGTACTTGTGCTCTGACTCCCAATGAGTAAGATTATCTGTCAAGGGTCATTTCTAAACACAAATGGTACTTGCCATTAAAAGAACTACTAATCTGGATTTCAATATTTCTTAGTAGTTTTGGCTTTTGTCCTTTGGGAACTTCTATTTAAGATGGTTCAGATGTGATTGAGAGTGATTGTTTATTTATTTGTTTCCTTGAATTGTGCTTGTTCATTATAGGACAAAGCTAGAGCAAACTTAGATATTGTCTGTGTCATTTCCTAGTTATGTTTTTTTCTTTTGGCAACATATGCTATTAAATGTACAGGAGGCTTCAAGGAATAATAATGGAAAGGCAGCTCATTCAGAATGGAGGAACTATGATGACTTCAACGAATATTTCTGGTTAGGCTCTGCAATGTTGAAAACTTATTTAGTGGTTTGTTGTCCTATAACCTTTCCTTTAATTCTTTATTTCTATCTTGTAGGTCATCTAATTGCTTCAAATGGGGCTGGCCATTGCAGAAAGATCATGCTTTCCTTTTCCATCCAAAGAAGGGGAAAAAGGTTGGTATTTCATAAATATTGTTATTTCCAATGTTCTTTGTTGGTGCTTACGTTTTTCTCACAATATCTGTGTGAGGTTTTTGGAGATAGATCTCTTAGAAAGAATAGCAACTGTGGCTGCATGAGAGTGGAAGAATGAGGGGAAAACTTATGTATTTATATACGAAATAAGTTACAAAGGACAACATTGTCATATAGACTAGTCAGCTCTAAAGAATAATAAAAACGCATGTGTACTCAGTGCATATATAGAATAGTACAACAAATGCACATTCTCTACACTCTCCTTAAAGTTGGTTGTTGTACGTCATGCATGCCCACCTGCCTCGTAATGCCATAAATCTGGTCTCAACCGACTGGCGTGGTAAAGAATTGGCTAATTGATATTCAGCCTTGGTATTTGGATTTAACATCTAGTTTTCCTGGTAAAATGGCCATTCAACCTTGATGTGGTTTGTTATCTTGTGGAAGACGGGATTTGTGGCAATGGAGATGCCTACTTACTTGTCACATTGCAAAGCTATAGCAATATGATGTGCACACCCATATCACTTAACATCTCACATACTAGTGATGCCGTGGCTCGATATTCTGCTTCTGCACTAGGTACCATGACTACACTTTGCTTTTATTGTTTCTCCAACTTACTGAATTCTCCCCCCCCCCCCACCCCCCCCGCCCCCCCTACACCCAGTACGTAGTTGATCAACAATCAACTGGTCAGCACCTGCCGTAGCTGCATAGACCAAGAGAAGGATTGTGCCTGAATAGAAGTCCCTTATTGCTCCTGAATTGATTATCAGTATTGCTTCTAAATGTGAAGATCGTGGAGTGTGCATGAACTGGCTAACCCTGCTAACTGCATCAGTCTCCTGATAATCAATTTGTTATTCTGGGTGAAACCTTTGATTACAATTTGGGCCTTGCAGCATTCAATACTTCCATCATGCTTAAGCTTGAGTCTGAAGCCCATCGGCTCCTTATTGTCCTCATTTCAAAGGGGAGAGGTACTATGTCTCTGAAGAGCTTGGATATCTTCTCCATTACTGTTCTCCAATTCGGGGTTTTTCATGACTTTCTCATAAATAAGTTGTGGGGTTTGAGACAATATTTGAAAGAAAGGAAAGACCTATGTTAGAAAGAAAGAGTGGTATAAGAAACAAACCATTCCATTGGATGACAAACTCCTTTTGATTTTCATATTGCAACTGGAAGATCCATGTGAGATGGAGAAGTTGTAAATGGTGAAGAAAGTTCGGTCTCAGTCAGCCCACGAGAAGGTTAATCCCCGGATTATCAGTCGCTATGATGTCCTTAACAATGGGTTGCCTTTGTCTTCCTAAATAGGTCAATATGGGCCTTTCTGTGATCTATGCGCACTACACTGAGGTGTAGAAGAGGCACTTCCTCTTGTCCAGTCTATGGTCCTCCCCCTGAATTTCAACTTGAAGCTTGCAATCCTTTTTGGAAAAACTAACATTTCCAAAAAGGTTACATGTCTCGACCCCGAAAGTTCCTTCTTTTTGGTTTGCACTTTACTGAGCATGCATCCAACTCGTCCCTAGCTGTCTCATTAAGGTGTGCAACATGTTAATTCAAAGGCATGCGTATGAGGCAAATTGGGTGCTTTCCTTGTTAATTTTTCTTGGACTGTGATGACCAAGAGCTCGTGTGGGCAATCTATCCATAAGATTAGTTGGCACTGACAGTGAACTTCTTACAAATTTTCTGCTTTGCAGCACCATTTTTTGTGGTGTTGCAGGATATGAGGTCTGATAAATTATCCTATCTTCTTTTAAATATTGGGTCATGTTCCTGTTTTTATACACTGTTCTATTATTAGTCCTAAAGGTTTTGACTTTGTCATTGAACTATGCTTATGAAAAACCTTAACAATTCCAAACACCTCTGATTTGGATTTTATGCAATAGACTGAAGTAGTGCGCGAGCAATCATCACTGAAGAAAACAAAATATTGTGCGCAGGTGATAGAATTCGCTGGTGCAGGACTCCACACTTTGGAATGAATTAGAGAAAACAAATTTGAACAAGGCACTCCATTTTTAATGAAAGGAAAACAACAGTGTTTTGGAAATTGACATGTTCCCATTAAGACACAATATGATCTGGAAAAGAAACTGAAGGTAAAAGATTCCTAAGAACTTGACTTGAGGCATTCTTTAAATGAGCTCGCCAAAGGCCTCCCTCTTTATTATCTCTGGATACAAAACCTACTGGTGCTTTCCCAAAGATGTAGAGTCCATTGTCCTCATACCCCTCCCCAATCGTCTTCCTGGTCTTCAAACTCAGAAATCACAACAATATGGTGAAAGTTATACTACTACAGTTCATATTTTTTGTAATGCTGCTGACAGATAGGAACGACCCCTGGAAGACTTAGAGTGGGGGTGAGGATAATGGATCCCTCACCTTCAACGGATGAAGAGAGCGATCAGCTAGGGTAACTGTATTGGAAGCAAGGTTTCTTTGATTGAGATTAAATAAAGGAAACTCACTAGTCATATGCTCTGTTGCTCCAGAGTCAATGACCCGGTTGGCTGATAGATTGTTTAGTGATTTCCTTCTCTGAAAAAGCATAATGAGTTGGTTATTTTGTCATGTAAGGACTTGTTTGAGGAATCTATTACTGGTGGACTGCGGGCTTGGTTGGTGGTCTTGTTGGTTATCCATGCAAGGCCCAACGGGCCAACACCTATTCCTCATGTTTTATAATCGATTGCAATGCTAACATTTCGGTCTAGGTGCTGTACCCCGATTACGTGCATGTTCACTCCTATGTGCTAATTAAAAATCTTTCACAAAAGCCAGATTAGGGACCTTCGAAGCGGCCCTCATTACTTCTTTGCATTTTTCTTCTCTTTGAAGAAGAGCGTAGACAAAGTTGATTGATGGTAATTTCTTAGCAGAAAATATATGTGTTCATACCATCTCATAATCGTCATTAAGACCATCCAGAGTTTGAAAATATGCCGGGCGGTAGGCCACTTACATGGTGAGGGCTCATAAAGTTTGAGTTCCTCCCACATGCGTTTATGTGATCTGTAATATTCTTATAGAGATAGGTCTCCTTGAGAGCATAAGACTTTATCTCTAGAGTTGATACACTTGAGCAATATTAACCTTCTGGGTCCTTTAATGTGTCCCCTATTTTTTTGGTTCTGCTTGAGGAACAACAATCAACTTGTAATGTTTTCATCAATAGAGTTGAGAATCTATGCCACAAAAAGTGAATCTGATGCCATCTACTCTTCATATGTAGGGTCAGACAGATCCAGGGCACTTGGGTTCTCCTTATCTGAGTCCTTTTTTGTGTTTTCACTAAGCATCATTGTGATGTCCTTGTCCCATGTTAAATTGCTGCATGAGGATGAATTCGTTTGATTTGCAATTTCATGTATTAACAAATTTGTCGGAGAATACCCGAAATGGTGCTGTAGACTGGGATAATTGCTTAACACCTCGGATCAATCCTGATTTTTTTGAGCAAGATGTAGGTATTTGATCACTACAAAAGGTGTGCATGTATTGATCACTGCAAACCCTAAGAATCCTTCCTGACTTAAAATCTGGGCTCTGGAATTAAAAAAATGTGCCTTATTACTACTTTGATACCATGTAAAGTGTGTGGTGATAAATCTCTGAGAAAGAAGAACAACTGTGGCTACAGAGGGTGGATTAAAAGCAAAGAACGATGCTAGCGCTGTTAGGTTAAATATTGTGGATCATTCTGCTTAGTTTCCTGCTCTATATACTGTAATGTTTGATCACTTGAAAATGACGCTTGGAATTTATGATTAGTAAACAAGCTCTTTCTTTTTTTATCAACTTCAGCATTTTAAATTTTTTTTCTGTAGCTTATATTTAAATCTGGAGGCCATTATACAACATGGAATTCCTCACTTAGGAAAGAAACAAAATGCAATTCCATGCTTATGAAAGGAACCTTTGTTTACCATGCTCTCTAGTTGTGTCAGGCATATATGTTTAAGAGATCCTTACCTAACCATACCATCTTTTAGGACATTGACCTACCTACGTTTGTTATGGAGTTCAGATCTCTATCAGACTGACAATTGCGTTAATATCAGTGAACACACTTCATTACGACCACAAGTGGCCAGCACCTCATCTATCTGATAGAGTGCATGACAGGATGTCCTTTAGTAGGATCTTGAAGTTCATGAAGGAGCTGGATTTCGTTATGTATGGGTCTATTTTGTTGGGATGGAATGTGTTAGTTGGAGGATAGGATTTCTATTTCTGCAGCTTTTGTAGCGATTTCCTTCGATAGAATGTAAAAACCTCATTGGAAACACCCCCTTCAAGAAGCTAAACTGCATGTACACGGGAACTCAATCCTTAGAGCACCCCGTGCTCTGGAAACAGTTGGAAATAGGCACAACTATTTTGAGACGTGTAACTTCACATTGTGGTCTAAAATATTCATTCTCAAGGAACATGATCTTAGGATTTGTGTTCTTTACAATTTTCCTACTTGTCTGATGTAATTTCACGATTTGCTTGTGTTTTGAGTTTTTCTCAGTGTTCGCACAATCAAACCGGAACGGTTAACCTGACATGGGAAAGCGGTTTAACTAGCCTAACCGGTAAATCGGCCGATTCAATTGTTCTAACTGGGCAAGTCTTGGGCGGTCAAAAAAGTATTAAAAAACATAAAAAAGATACAATTTTTTTTTATTAAAATATGAAAAGCATATAAAGATTGATTAAAACAAAACACATTCAAAGGAAGTTGAAAATTAATGAAACAATGGATTTTCAAGAATCGATTCGTGCCTACGGGTATTTTTTAAATTTTTTTAAAAAGATGGAAAAGTATAAAAGTAAGTATTAATGACCAAAACAATTTTTAATCTTTAACATAATGTAAAGAATATTAATTAATGCATTACAAACCAAATTCCTTATTTTTGAGAATTTATATAATTTTTTTTAAACACCCAAAACCGAAATTGGCCATTGGCCGGTTCCGATCTAACTAGGTGGTTACCGGTTAGATCGCCCGGTTTTTCCAACAGTGGTTTTTCTACAATTCACCTTTCACCTTGCTGGGGATCTTTTCTGTTATACGCTCTTTTTTGGAGATGTCTTTACATTTTGCTTTTTGTCTGTGGCCATTTCAGTTAAGCATAAGTGCTGTATTTGTTTGCTAAGAAAAGTCATTGAGTGATAATTCATATTGTTGTTTCTTTCTAAAGACGGGGCCTGTTTCCTGCTCTTATTCCTTTTATTAGGTAGTTTAATGGAAGGGGATTCACCTTTTTTCATGTTTGCGTGATAGTGGTAGTTAATGTATTTGGGACTTCTTTACAAACATGTCTTGTGTAATAAATGTTTTTGAAAAAAAATATTTGTTTTTGTTTTGTGTGTTATAAAGAACTAGTTTGCATGCAGACTTTCGAGTGCATTTGCTTAGTTATGGATTTACATCCTGACTTTTGGACTCTAGAGTGGGTTGCTCACCAGTTTGCTACTGCTTTATATGGCTGAATTTTTTATCAAAGTGCATCTAAATTGGGTAGCTTAGTTTGCAATTGTCTGCAACATGGCTAATGGCCTATGCAGAATTCCCCATGCATTTTACTTTGGTCAAATGTAATAGTACTTGTCATTCTGGACACGTCTACTTTTGTAAATTATTCATCCTATTTCTTTTTCTTTCTTTTTTGTTAATTTTTCTTCACTTTGTTGAACAGACTGGCAAAAGTAGCTTTGTAGAACACCGTACATTTCTTCATCTGTATCGCAGTTTTCACCGTATGTGGATTTTTTTGGCCTTAGCCTTCCAGGTTGGTACTTTTCCCATGTATCATTTTTCTTTTCTTTCTTCTTTCCTCTTGGAGTATCTATTTACAGCATTGAGCCATCCTTTTCCTTCTAGTGGATATTGATGTTTCTTATGGTTCTATTGGATCTTAATGGTGATACTCAGGCTTTGACAATTGTTGCTTTCAAAGATGGGCAATTCAACCGAGGTACTTTCTATGAGCTGCTTAGCATTGGATCGACATTCACTGTGATGTGCTTCATAGAGAGTATGTTTTTTTATTCAAAATCACTGAAAACTTCCCTTTTTCATTTGCAGACTATTACTTCGTTCTTATGTGATTTATGACTTCTTCCATATGTCTTCACCAGGAGGTGCACTTGCACTGACAAGTTTCGTATGCAGGTTGCTTAGATGTGATACTTATGTTTGGGGCTTATGCTACGGCTCCGGGTTTGGCTCTTTCAAGGCTGTTTTTAAGATTTTTTTGGTTTGGGAGCTGTTCTGGGCTTGTGACATACTTGTATATGTGAGTATGATTTTTTTATCTCTTTTTTTGAATGTTAGTGTCAATGTTTTATTTGTAAGTTACTCACGTTTCTGTTTATGTAGTTCCTTTGGAGCATTAAGTTTGCTTATGGGTTATGTTGTCTTGGAAAATTGAATTGCAGAAAGGTTATGGAAGAGAAAGATCAGCCCAACTCAAATTCATTCTATATTCGGCTTTACATTCTGTTGTTGGGGGTTTATGCTGCCACACGCCTCTTTCTTGCATTCTTACTTAAATTTCCAGCTTGTCACACTGTCTCTGATAAATGTGACCGATGGTCTTTCTTTCAATTTTTCAAGTGGCTGTATCAGGTTAGTGTTCTATAGGGTAGTGTTCGATATCTTCTTGAGCTTGCAACTGTGTTTGGTTTAATGCTATTCGATCCGAGCGTCTGGTCATGAAGCAATTTTCTCATCATAGTGAAAATCTTTGATGTCAGGAACGGTATTATGTTGGGCGTGGCCTTTATGAAAGGACAAGTGATTATTTGAGGTTGATATTCACTTTTAAATTGTCTCATTTCTCTAGCGTTCTTGGCAATCCCTTCCGATAACTGTTACTTGGTTTTTTTCTGTTTCATAACTTGTATCATGACATTAGCTTTTATCTTCAATTATTTCATTTGTTTTGATTATGGTGTTTTGCATCAAATTCTTGCTTTTTGCTGATTGCTGTCAATTTTCATTCTCTCAAAAGGGAAAAAATACTACTGGCTATTAACTAAAGAAAGAAATATAATCGCAAGGGAATAGATGTTAATGGTATAGCTCAATTGTTAGTTATGGATGAGGTTCTAGAACAGAAGATTAAATGGCAAACTTTATCATTAGCCAAAGAATCTGTTTTTTTATTGATATCCCTAAAATATGTTGAAAAGAAGCATATAAATTGCCAGCACACAATGACTGAGAGCATAGCAAGGTCTCATGCCATAGGGACTTTGATCAAGTTCTGGGAGAACTAGAAGACTTTCAATTCTTTTAGCATGACTATGTGGACTCACAAACTCCTAAAGTTGTTAAGAATGCCTCTAGCATCAGGGTTGAATGGAAACGGGCAAGAATTATCTCTTAGGCAGATAAGGACCTTGCTCTTACTTTTTCCATGCTCCCTTAGACTGCTTTGTAGGATGACATAAGGGGAAATGAAATTGAGTGGTGCAGTTTAAATCATCCTTTTAGTTTTCAAGGAAGGAATCCTGCTTGAGAAAGCTCCCATGGGTACTTTTCATGGATCCATTCTGTGGGCTAGTTAATTTTCTCCCTCCCTCAAAGATGATTGTCAAGAAGCTGGATTTATGGGGCTGGAAAGCTCTAAAGAGCGATTATCATTTACCAGTTCTTGATGATGTTTTTACCCCTTACTTAAGAAGCAAGAAGGTGGGTTATGGAGGTTGGATGAAGTATACCACTAGTGGCAACCTTTTGATCCTGTCGGAGGGGATGTTCCCACTGACAGTATGGATGTGAGAGTTGGATGCTTTAATGACTTTCGAATTGGAATATTCCTTCCCTTATTTTCCTGAATTTCTACTTTGAGCACGGAATTTATCTTCCATAGTAAGTGTTGGCTTGAATGTCGGGATGCAGGGGTGACAAGGTGAAATACTTTGGTTATGGTTCTGACTGTTTGTAGGACATATTCTTGGATTGGATATGTTTTGGAATGGTAGGTTTACAATTACCTTTACGGACTTCTTAGGGGGCCAAACATTTCATCAAATATGTGTTGATGGCATTGCTAAGTATACTGAAAGCTAAGGGTAATGAAAGCAAGCTTGAAGGACATCCAATTGGTGTTGGATGTTAACAGCTCATGTGGATGTGAGGGGGAAAGCACTGTAAATGGTCTCTTATGAGGAAAGGTTCTGGAGCATGGGAGGGATATTTCAAATTTGTGCACATCTCGTGGTATTGTTAGCTTGAAGCATGTGTGGTTGAAATGTTTTCTGAACGAGCTTGAGGGACATGACATAAAACTAAAAATGGCGAACGTACTACTTGAAAAAGACTGAATTCTAGGGGCTGTTTGAATGTGAGAAAAGCTGGTTGGGGCAAATACCTTGTATGTCCTGAATGTGAGGTTCAATGAATATTTTATGATGACCCATTTATGTGATGGTCATTGGTAGATTTAGTGTCGTTTGGTTGATAAAAATTTCCAAGTTTGCTTGTAGGGCTGAATGCTTTCAAGAATTAGGGTTTGTATCGTGCATTTTAGTGCATCTGGAAACAAAATACGGCGCATTCTTATGATACAAATTGTTACTTGGAAAAACTTTTTATTAGGAAAAAGTTGGCATTATTGATATGTTATGTTCTATATATCACAGTTCCAGTTTTTTTGTTGATTTAGTTTTATGACTTTCCATTGAAGTAAAATAGACGTCGTCTCTCTCTCAAAATGCAGATACTTGAGTTTTTGGTTGGTGATTTTTGTGTGCAAATTCACATTTACATATTTTCTCCAGGTAAGCAACAAGCTCTGTTTTACCTGAATGTTTTTCTTTTTCAGGATGTTGCGAATTGCTTTACAATATAAATTAATAAATTGTGAGTGGCTGGTTATGAGCAATTTGATTTCTGTTATTTATTTAATTTTTTTTGTGCAGATTCACCCGCTTGTAGGCCCAACCAAAATAATTGTAAATATCCCCAACTTGCCATACTCGTGGCATGATTTTGTGTCAAAGAGTAAGCATAATTTATTTGCTCCTTTTTTTATGGATTCTTAGGTTGTGAAAAATGAAACAATTTTCTTTGCATGAGCTGTCTGTTTAAATAATTGCAAGTAATGTGTATATTCTAGATAGTACATTGCAGAACATTGCTATTGAAATATCTGACACTCTACCTTGACGTAACAAATCAATCTGATGTGGGTTGAGAATTTTTTTTGCCTCTCTATTTGTTGGATGCCTCAGGTCATGTAGTTTAGGAATCCCTCTTTCTCTCTCCCATCTTTCTCTCTCTCTCTCTCTCTCTCTCTCTCTCTCTCTCTTCATTGAGTGCTTTGGGTAGCTGTTTTCAACTAAAGTTGAGAAGGTCAACTTCTCAATCTGTAAATGGGAATTGAGGAATATATATGACCCTTGTTGAACCTTGCACAATGTGGTTGGTCTATTATGATGACCAAGATATTTGACTACCCATCGTTTTTACGGAAATATGGCTATGTCCACTGGAGGAGGAGTTGTGGAATAATTTCAATGTAAAATTTATTTACTACCCATTTGCCATTTGGTTTTTGGGGCCTTTTGGATGAGACATGAGCTATTATGCTTGTGCTTCCATGCTGGAGTCTATGCTGATACTAGGCGATCTCAGAATTTTTGTTCGCCTGATGCCTGGGCACTCCAATTGTTGAAGGCAAATTTCTTAATGTGATTAGATGGGTCATCGGTGAGGAGGCCGTCTCATGCTACATTGATTCATTGTAACAGTAAAATTCTGGCTCTAAGTTTCCTTCAAAGATGTGCATAGGGGAGCCAATGATGCGGTTTACATGTTGGCTCAGATTGGGGTCTCCTGCATGGCTCTGAGCATGGGATTTTTTTCTTTCCGTTGATACACTTGTAAATGGACATATCATTATACTACTTTCTGTAGCGATAAGTTTTAACTATCAAAGGAAGAAATAGATAACATTTTGTCACATGTGCTGGTCCCCCTCTTCTTCCTCGTTCCCCATCTCTCTCTCTCTCTCGCTCTCTCGTTTGTTTAACGTTTTCAATTTCTCATCTGGCGAATGAGGTGGGATAAGATTTGTCATATACTCATATGTACTTAAGGTGTATATTTGTTGATGCTTTATTGTTCTTAGGAATTTCATAATAGAAAGCCTAGATTAGGAGTTACCTTATTGTTTTCTGAAGAAGTCCTAAATGTGATGCCTGGTCACATGTACTTTGGTATGGAAGTTTTTGCATGATACTGCAAGTGTGGGGTTGCTTGTTTCAGACCCTTTTAGAGTCCTTAGGAGGTCAGTCGTTCCATCGTTTCACATTTGACTACTTAAGATAATTTCTTTTCTTGTCCCTGTGATACTTTGGAATTTTACCCATTTCTTGAAGGCTGATTCCATTCCATTTTGAGTTATTCATTCAATCATCTATTGCATCTTTGTTTCCTTTTTCTTTAGGCATCTATTGGATTTTAATTTATGTTAATGCATAATGTGTTCCTTGTATGAAAAATTTTCTCTTGCTCTCTTCGAATTCCTAGGAATTTTTCTGCTATCTTGTCTATTTTGTATTTGTATCTTATGCTAGCAATTGGGAGTTCAGGATGTGACCAGATTGTTCATAACTTTTAGCTTATAATTTATTATTATTAATTTTTAATATGGTTTTAGCTTATAATTTATTGGTTAAAATATTACCTCTTTTTAGAAATCCTTGAGGGAATTGACAATATTTGCAGTTGACTTGTGTGCTATGTTGCTATGTTTTTATAATTTTGCAGACAATCATAATGCACTAACTATTGCTAGTCTTTGGGCACCAGTTGTGGCGGTGAGTACCTCGCTTTTCTATGTTTTCCTGTTCCTTGATGTGATTAATTGCAGACATGCTTCCAAAAAAAAAAAGAGGCTACATGATAACTGGTCATTACACACTTTTGTCCCGTAGTTTTCTTGTTAGGTCTTGATTCTTTGAATGAAACACTTGTTGACATTTGTAGATCTACATATTGGACATACACATATGGTACACACTTCTATCTGCTCTTGTTGGTGGCATTATTGGAGCTCGTGCTCGATTGGGGGAGGTATTTGCTGATTTTTCATCATTTATTCTTTCAAGGGTTTCTTAAGCATATTGATTTTTGTCTTATGATTGTTTGTTTTCCATTGTGGCTATCTGCTTAATTGGCTTTCTTAAGAGAACTATGTTTAACCTCATGGGTGGATTACAGATACGCTCCTTAGAAATGTTGCGGAAGCGTTTTGACAGCTTTCCTGAAGCGTTTGTGAGAAACCTTGTGTCTTCCAAATCAAAAAGGTGACTAATACCTAATACTCAAGTCAGGGTACAATTAGTGGTTTGTTATTTGCATCAAAGTATAGATGGTAATTTGTTAAACTTAGTTGGTTCTTATTTATATCACAACTGATATATACTCGGACTTTTCTGTTTTTGCAGGTTGCCTTTGGAGAGCTCTAACACTCAGGTAATTATTCTCAACATTTCTCTTTGGTATTCTTATCCTTTAGATCCATTTATGTGCCTCTGGACTATGTTAATTTTGAAGATGATCATGTAAATTCTTTTGTCTTTTTGTTTTACCTTGATTTTTGTGTAGAAACGTTATCTACATATTAGTGGGGAAGCTTTTAGTGATGAATGATGAACACAGTATTTAATATGTGCCATAAGTCTCGGAGCTTGCTTGAGAGAACTCAGCTTAGGTACAATCTTAATAGATTCCTTCCCCCCCCTCACTCTTCCCTTTCTTCCTCTCTCTCTCCCTCTCTCTCTCTCTCTCTCTCTCTCT